AGTGAAAGCTAGTCCATGGAGAGAAAAGGATGGATTTATTTGAAGGTTGTTGACATTGGTCTTCATTTTTTTTTCTTTTTATGGGGCAAAGGTGGTGGGAGGCCGCATTTGTTTCGATGGCCTTAGTGGATTTGGAACTGGGTTTGGCCCTATCAGTCCGGGATGGTTTTTTTTTGTTTTTTTTTTTTTAGTTTTAATTTCTGGATTGTGAACATTTCCACCCCGGTCAGTGCCATCTTCATAATATCTGAGAGCCCAGGTTCTGCCATATTCCCAAAGTGGGCGCTGGGGATTTGTTATAACAAGGACTATTATGTGGGACCCATGTAGCAGAATTTTTGCATTGTCGTTTGATTACACTAATATGGGGGTTTGGCACGAGATGGAGTCCAGCTAGTGGTTATTGTGTCACACCCCCAGTAAGCCCAGTAGAATTGACCTGGAGCGTTACAAGGCGGGGCTGCGACACTTGGACACATATAAAAGTGGTGGGCCTAGTAACCCTGGTAATGCAGCCAGATACGGGGGGGCAGCTGGCATAGGGACACATTACTTTGTACAGTTTGGTGAGTTGTGTTTTCACCACTTTGTATGAGCTTTTTTACTTCTCCTGATTTGTCTTATCTCCCAGCTGTACTTTTCTGGCATGTGAGGTGACTCAGAAGCTCCCATACCACCAGGCAACAATAAAGGCAACAAGGAAAACAACAATAAAGTCATGGTCTTCTGGGTCTCAGCTTTAGTCCACGGTCGGCGGGGTCCATCGGCAGCAGCTTCCATCCCTGGGGGGCGTCCTCGTCCTCGGCGTGTTTCACGTGGCACGCGTGAATGCGGGTCCTCAGACCTGCTACTTTGAAGGTCACGGGGGGGTGGGGGTGATGGTCAAGATGACCGTCAATAGTCCCTTCCGGTGATCTCCCACTTGGTGGCTCAGATCCCTGCGTGCAGATGGCACGCCTGCAGTGACTGGAGCGCAGGCTGCTCAGTCATTTCCGCCAAGGCAACCTCTTGTAGTGCGCAGAGTGGAGGGGGGTCCCCCACACATTACCTCAAATGGGGTAACCTTGTGTAAAATAGAGTGTGCTGGGCACCCTAAGGAGGGCGAAGGGAAGGAGATCCACCCACCCACCGCCAGTCTCCAGAATTAACTTTGTCAAGGTCTCTTTGGGAGTCCGGTTCGTTCTACTTGTCCACAGCTCCAGGGCCGGTAGACACTGGGTAGTTTCCAATTAGTGCCCGCTGCCTTGGCCAAGGCCTGGGAGACTGAACTCACAAATGCAGGGCTGTTATCTGACCCGACTGCGAGAGGCACCCCAAACCTAGGAATGATTTCCTCTGATAGCTTTTTGGCCTCTCAGGTTTGGTGGAGAAAGCCTCTACCCAGAAAAGGTTTCCACAAAAACTAGCATATACTTGTATCCATACCTTCCCTGTTTCATCTCTGTGAAATCCACTTCCCAATACATTCCTGGTGCCCTCTCTCTCTTTCTGTCTCTCTCTGTCTCTCTGTCTGTCTCTCTCTCTTTATCTCTCTGTCTCTCTCTTCCCATCCTGGTTCCCCCCGCGTTTACCGTCTGACATTGAGCACATCTGTCTAGCACATCTTGAACCACATGTCCTAGCTTAGGAACATGACAAGTCTTAAGCTTGCGTGTCCCCAGAGGAGTGCTGCTTTGTCCCCAGTCTTGGGGAAGAACCAACTTTCCTTGTCCTAATTTTGGCCCACTCCCCTTCCCCCACTAGTTCGCCCCACTTTTTAAATATTTTAAATCCTCTTCGAAATAACTTGGCTTTTCCACCAGGGCTGGAGCCAGGAGGGCAACCAGTTCTTGCGCCTTTTCTCGGGCTGCTTGCTTTGCAGCTGGTGGGCTAGGCTGCTCCTTGGCTCAGGGTCCCTGACCTGAACCTAAGCCCTCCCACCTGCTTTCCCGGCGCTTAGGCTTTTCTCTCCACTGACCATCTCCTACCTGCCTCTTTCCTTTCCACTGACCTCCTTTCCCGCCTCATGGAACGCCAATACCTTAACCATTTTCCTGGTCTGCCTTTCATCCTCTTGCACGTCCCTGTCGTTGAACACCTTTTCTGCTATGCCCACTAATTCAGTCAGGTTTTTCCCTTCAAACCCCTCAATTTTCTGGAGCTTCCTCCTCCTGTCTGGGGCCGACTGGCTAGCGAAGGCAAGGCTAATTGCTCTCAGATTTTTGGGTGCCTCCATAAGCCTTTCCCGAAAAGCCCCTGGGGACTCATCCTTACCTTGAGTCACCGCGCTGATCTTAGATTTATGGGCCTCCTTGTAGCCCCACGGAGTCCCCCCAACAGAGTCTGGCGGTAGAAATGGAGCTCTCCTTACCTTCATTGGTGTTTGGGTCCCAGTTGGGGGGGTTCTCTTGGGCAGTAGTCTTCCATTTTCCGGGGGACTCGGCCCAACCTCTCAATTATCACTTGATGTGTTTCCCTTATAATGCGGTTCCTCTCTTCTGCATTAAAGAGGGCCATAAGGAGCTGTTGGATGTCCACCCAGGTGGACCAGTGGGTAAGGAAGGCAGTGTCCAAGAGACTAATCAGATCCTGGGGGTGGGCACAGAAAGACTTATACTGGGCTTTCCAGTTATAGATGTCAGAAGAAGAAAGGGAACATAGGTTAGTGAGGGCACCCTCTCCCATCCGGTGGAGCTTCCTCGCGAAGGGGCAGCATTGGTGCCTTTGGAACTGGAGGGGGAGAGGGTGGCAGAGGAGGGTAGAGGGAGGGAGAAGAATTGGGTTGGTCTTTCTGTTCAATGAGTCCATAAGCGGCCCCCTTCCGCATATAGGGTGGGCGGTGAGAGTATTCCTGGGCTGAGACTTGAGTCTAGAGGAAGAATAGGGAGGTGGGAAGTCCAAATCATCTGTATCTGTCCAAGGTAGGATGGTCTTTTTATTTTTTTGCCGGTCGTGGGGCCTGAACTCTGGGCCTGGGCACTGTCCCTCAACTCTTCAGCTCAAGACTAGCGTTCTACCACTTGAGCCACAGTGCCACTTCGGGCTTTTTTCTGCTTCTGTGGTGCTGAGGAATCGAACCCAGGGCTTCATGCATGCAAGGCAAGCACTCTACCACTGAGCCACCTTCCCAAACCTAGATGGTCTTTTTTAGCCTCCCCTTTTCTTCTGTTTCTAGTTTCGGGGATCTGGCCTGCCTCGGAGAGAAATTGGTTTTGTTAGCAGGAGAAAGGTGTGGTTTTAGCCATGATGGAGGCTCTTTGACCAGGTACTACCAGGCCACGATGTTCGGTGGAAATCCAAGACCTTAGTCTGGGTAGACTAGATTTGGGCCAAAGCGAACATCCCCTTTGGCGGCCATCCTGTAAAGAAAATGGGCTACTCCATCTGGTAGTGTTTTTAGTTTTTCCGGATAAACTTTGTCACCCAACTGGGTGGCTTTACCTTGAAAATCCTCCAAGTGTTGCAGAGCAAAATTCAGGGGTGTCACAGGCTCCTTGCTCCCTGCCTGCCCCATTTCTCCATTCACAACAAATATCAGGACAGACAACAGAAAGACAAGACAAAGACAACCGCAGACCCAGCAGCCCCTCCTCGACAAGATAGCAAGTCTAAGGGCAGACAAGATGTAACCCCAACTCAAAAAGGTAACCTGCTGGGCTGGGAAGGTGGCTCAGTGGTAGAGCGCTTGCCTTGCATGCTCAAGGCCCTGGGTTCGATTCCTCAGCACCACATAAGCAAAAAGGAAAAAAATAGCCGTTAGTGGCGCTGTGGCTCAAGTGGTAGAGCGCTAGCCTTGAGCTGAAGAGCTGAGGGACAGTGCCCAGGCCCAGAGTTTAGGCCCCACGACCGGACCAAAAAAAAAAAAGGCAACCTGCTGCTAGTGGTGATTTTCCCAATCCCCTGACTGCCTCGGGGGACTTGAACCCCCTCCTAGCGATCTACAGACGGAGGGATGGGGCGTCCCCGCATCCACTCCGGCCCTGGGGAGCCAGTTTCTCCCCGGTGGGCTTCCCCCTGGAGCTCCGCAAACCCAGAAACAGAACAGGATCTAGCAGAACAGGACCTCGAGATCCTTCCCTAGAAATTCTGATGCTGGCTCAGTCCTCCTCGTTTGCTCCCGGACGCCCCATTATTTTGGGATCCTTGATCAAAGGAACGAGACTCATACAGGATGAAAGTCAAGCAGAGCTTTATTTCGCACCCAGCATCGAGAATCAAACTGACCGGTCAGGGCCTTCTCTATGGCGAGAGTGGACCCCGCCTTGTCTTACAGGCTAACTTTTATAGGGCAAAACCGCAAAAAAAACAAAAAACAAAAACAAAAACGCAGGCTAACTGTGAGCACATAGCTGTTATGAGCTAACCCTTATCTTCATTGGTTAAAAGCAGAAGGGTTACATAGGTGCTTTTTGCTGATTGGACGCCTCCACCAGGCCGGCCCCTGGTTTGGTGGGCGTTGTTATGGGGAACTTGCTGGTTCCTTGGAATCGTTTTGTAAATAAGGTTCAGTTCGGCTTGCCTTTACTGCACCAACAACAGGTTTTAGTTTCTTTGTGGGCAAGGTCAGCTTGTACTTACTTTACAAACACCAAATGGCTGCCCGGACAAAATGGAGTTACTTAGGCTAAACCGGTCCTAACACCAACTCCGCGTCTGGCTTTTGGAAATAAGTTATCGTGGACTTTCCTGCCCGGGCTGACTTCGAACCGCAATCCTCAGATCTCAGCCTCCTGAGTAGCTCGGATTACAGGCGTGAGCCACCCCCCTGCCCGCCTCAAAATACCATTCTTCATGGCTCCTCTCCCAACGGAGCTGCTGTGATGACCTCGAAGCAGCCTGTGCCAGAGAACATGCGGTATTCCCAACCTAGAGACACAAAAAGAAACCACGGCGTCTGGTAACAAATGCCCAAGGAACGACAAAGACCTCCAAACAACTTCCCAGAATGCCTCATCTCTATGATCCGCAGCGCCTAAGCTTCCGTGTAGGCAAGGTTGTCTTTCCGGGTGGCTGCGATCGCTTCCGGGGCGTGCCGCCTGGAGCTGTGCTCGCTGCGCGCGCGGCTGCCCTAGGTTTTTGTGTTTATATTCTCCCGACTGCAATGAGCTTCCTCAAAAGTTTCCCGCCGCCGGAGCCGGCGGAGGGGCTCCGGCAGCAGCAGCCGGACACCGAGGCTGTGCTGAACGGGAAGGGCCTCGGCACCGGTACCCTCTACATCTCTGAGAGGTACGGTCCCCCGCGCGCCCGCGGCGGCCTCCCTCGCCGCGCTGCTGGGCTGCTCGCGAGCGGGGCGCCGGCGGGGCGGGACGCGGGCGAGCCGGGACCCGCTGCCGCGGGAGGCGTCGGGGGGCGGCGGGGGACGGGACTCGGGGTCGCAAAGGAGTCCGGAGAGGGTGGCGGGGACGGGCCCTGGATGGCTGAAGACCCCCGGGGGCGGCGGGGACGGGCCCCGGTGTCGCTGAGGGAGCCCGGGGGGGGGGGGGGGACGGGGCGGGGACCGACTCGGAGTCACTGAGGGAGGGGAGGGCGGGGGGGGGGGGGGACTCGGGGACGCTGAGGGAGCCCGGGGGACGGGGCGGGGACCGACTCGGAGTCACTGAGGGCGGGGGGGGGGGACTCGGGGACGCTGAGGGAGCCCGGGGGGGGGGGGACGGGGCGGGGACCGACTCGGAGTCACTGAGGGAGGGGAGGGCGGGGGGGGGGGGGACTCGGGGACGCTGAGGGAGCCCGGGTGCCCGGAGGCCACTTGGAGGACTCCAGGCCTGAGGGGAAGACGATGAATGCTAACGTCCCCTCAGCCCAGTGTGGAAAGCAGACACTGAGTTTCGACAGAGTCTTTGGTGCTCTTGAGGAAAGTAATTTTCTTTTCTTTTTTTTTACTAGTGGAGAATGGGGACAAACACATTCCTATCCCCCCCCCCCCCCCAGATCCGTATTGGTGATCATGGCTTTGTTCATTCTGTCTGTAATTCCTTTTTCGTTTTTGGCCGGTCCTGGGGCTTGAACTCAGGGCTTGGGCTTTGTTCCTGAGCCTTTTTTTTTTTTTTTTTGTGCTCAAGGTTAGTGCTCTACCACTTGAGCCACAGTGCCACTTCCGGCTTTTTTCTTTTTGCTTATGTGGTGCTGAGGAATCGAACCCAGGGCTTCATGCATGCTAGGCAATCGCTCTACCACTGAGCCACGTTCCCAGCTTAATTCCTTTTTTTTTTTTTTTTTTTAAAGAATGTAATTTTGTCATTATTTAAGTAGCTGTACCAAGGGGTTAAAATTCCGTGAATCAGGTGGTGAGTACAGTTCTTGGACAGCGTCACTTCTTCTTTTGCTTTCCTCCAGTTTCTCCCACCTTTCCCTGCCCACAAGTTGCATAGCCATAGCTCGTTTTTTTTTTTTTTGTTTTTTTTTTTACATAGTGTATATTGAATACCATGACTGCATTTGTTCAACCTTCTTCCCTTCATTTATAATTCCTTTTGAGGGGAAGATTCTGTACTTGTTTTACATTATCTATTTTAAAAGTTCGCATTCCAACCTTTCATAAAAATATGTGTAAAACTTATAAAGGTTATGTATACATGATTTGAGAATTATAATTAACACCTATATACCCACTACCCTCCTAGATTAAGAATGCAGTACTGGGCTGGGAAGGTGGCTCAGTGGTAGAGCGCTTGCCTTGCATGCCTGAGGCCCTGGGTTCAATTCCTCAGCACCACATAAGCAAAAAGAAGAAAGCCGGAAGTGGTGCTGTGGCTCAAGTGGTAGAGCGCTAGCCTTGAGCTGAAGAGCTGAGGGACAGCGCCCAGGCCCAGAGTTCAAGCCTCACAACCGACCAAAAAAAAAGAATAAAAAAGAGTGATCATACTCGTGAAGAAATGTTAAGAGTTTTGCAAAACATTTTTCTCCATATTTACCGGCTTTCTGATTCTTGTTATATTTTGGGTTAGCTAGCATATATGAGATACAAAGACTAAAACTTAATAGTAAATTAAGTAGGGCTGGGAAGGTGGCTCAGCGGTAGAGCGCTTGCCTTGCATGCTCGAGGCCCTGGGTTCGATTCCTCAGCACCACATAAGCAAAAAGAAAAAGCCGGAAGTGGTGCTGTGGCTCAAGTGGTAGAGCTCTAGCTTTGAGCTGAAGAGCTGAGGGACAGTGCCCAGGCCCAGAGTTCAGGCCCCATGACCGGACCCAAAAAAAAAAAAAAGTAAATTAAGTATTGTCTCTTAGGGCTTGAACTCGGGGCCTGGGCACTGTCCCTGAGCTTCATTTGCTCAAAGCTAGTACTCTACCACTTGAGCCACAGCATCACTTCCGGCTTTTTCTGTTTTGTTTCTTTTTTTTTTTTTTTTTTTTTTCCAGTCGTGGGGCTTGAACTCTGGGCCTGAGTGCTGTCCCTCAGCTCAAGGCTAGCACTTGAGCCACAGGATCACTTCCATTTTTTGATTGGTTTTTGGAGAGTCTCACAGACTTTCCTGCCAGGTTGGCTTTGAACCATGATCCTCAGATCTCAGCCTCCTGAGTAGCTAGGTTTACAGGCATAAGCCACTGGCACCCAGCCTGTTTTCTTTTTATGTGGTACTGAGGAACTGAACCCAGGGCTTCATGTATGCTAGGCAAGCACTCTACCACTAGGCGACATTCCCAGCCCCAGTATTGTCTTTTTTTTTTTTTGGTGGTGGTGGTGATGCTGCGGTTTGGACTCAGGGCTGTGTGCTTACAAGGCAGGTGCTCTACTGCCATCAGCTAAGTATTACCTTTATGTGCAGTTTACCTTTGTGCTGTAGAGTGCAGAATCCACAGCTATGTAGGAGATGATCCAGACAGAAGTGGTTTTAGGGAACACCACTGGCAGTAAGTGCTGTGCTGAGGCAGCATCCTGTCATCCTGGAAGAACTACAAAACAATTACTATGTGCTTTCAACTAAAGGCTATAATTTGATAATACTAGTTCTGTTACTGGATTTCAAACTTTCCACCTCCCATTTGAAGCATTGGTGTTTTGCCATACTGGAATTATTTTGGACATTTAAGTTTGGATTGAGCCTTTCTAAATCATGATTGTACCAGCAGATTTTTTTATTAAAATGATTGCTTTAGTAGAGTGATTCTTCCTTGATCTGAGAATCGTTTTTCATCTCCACATTAAAACACAGCATCAAGCAAGAAAGGGAGAGCCCACTACACACAGCCTAATTATGTAGTGAAATCAGTTTCTTTGGAACTTGTAATAGTCATTCTGAAAATAATTTCTATCACTTTTAACTCTTCATACTTTTTCAGACGGTTGTGCCTGACTTGTTTAAAATTTTAAGTCCATGATCAAATAAGTTATTAAACTACAGAGTTGCATATTTATCACCACAACCCAGCATTTATCATAACTGAGGGTCTTATATTTGACTTGGATACTGCTATTACACATTTACTTTCTGGGGGAAGAGGTATCAAATTCATTCTCTTGCAATGACCTGGAACAGGTTCACATTACTACTGTCATTTTTTCTGCCCCAGGGAATCCTAGGATCTCTCACTGTACTGTGGTTTTGCTTGGTTAGAAACTAGTTGCCCTGAGCTAAAGTTAAGTTAAAAGTTATGCAGAAAATACAGAAATTCTCCTATATTAACTTTTTTTTCCTTGGTGCCCAGGATTTTGAGTATACTAACCCTATGCTCTTCTGCTAAACCCTCAGTCCTTTAACTTCGTTAAGCTTTTTTTGTGTGTGGGGGGGGGGAGGGGTGTCGTCGTCGTGGGACTTAAACTCTGGGCCTGGGTGCTGTCCCTCAGCTCTTCAGCTCAAGGCTAACATTCTACCACTTGAGCCACAGTGCCACTTCCGATTTTGTGTGGTTTTTGGAGATAAGAATCTCACAGTTTTTTCTGCTCAGACTGGCTTTGAACCTCAATCCTCAGATCTCAGCCTCCTGAGGAGCTAGGATTATAGGCGTAAGCCACCGGTGCTTGGCTGTTCCTGAGCTTCTTTTGCTCAAGGCTTGTACTCTACCACTGAGCCACACAGCTCCACTTCTGGCTTTTTTGGTGCTTAATTGGATACAAGAATCCATGGACCTTCTTGCCCTGGCTGGCTTTGAACTGCAATCCTCAGATCTCAGCCTTTTGAGTAGCTAGGATTATGAGCTACTGCTCATTATGAGTGCACTGCTCCAAATACAAATATATTATTGATATTTGCATTTCACCACTTTGAAAGGAAAAGTAGACCTACCTTGTCAGGGTTTTTCTTAAATGTGGTACTGGGTAGAAAATCATAGTTTGGGCTGGGAAGGTGGCTCAGTGGTAGAGTGCTTGCCTTGCATGCCTGAGGCCCTGGGTTTGATTCCTCAGCACCACATAAGCAAAAAGAAAAAAGCCGGAAGTGGCGCTGTGGCTCAAGCGGTAGAGTGCTAGCCTTGAGCTGAAGAGCTGAGGGACAGCGCCCAGGCCCAGAGTTCAGGCCCCACAACCGGACCCAATAATTAAAAAAAAAAAAAAAGAAAATCTTCATAGTTTATTTTTCAAGGTAATAATTAACTTGTGAATGTTCTTAAGGCTAGTTCCTGTGTATTTCACTTAATACAAGGATTAGTAAAGAAATTGTTGATTACAAGGTATTTATTACATGTTTACCTGCTGTGAACTCTGCTAAAGTTTTTGGAAAATGTTTAAAAGAACATGACAGGCAGTGTTCTGCTGTCAGGTAGCAAAGAACATGTAAGATTCGTTGCCATAGAGTTAAGTTCATAGTATATTATGAATACAAATGAAGAGTAGAACAGAAGAGGTCATTATGGACTGTAGCAATTGAAAGGAGGCCTCCTACATTGGAACTACTGGGGACTTAGGTAGGTGAGGACTTGGAAAAGCAAAAAGGGCACCTGAAAAATTCCAGTGAAAATGATAGAATTAAAAAAAAAAACCAAACAAAGCCCTGAAAAGAAATGAGGGCTGGAAGCATGACTCAGTTGGGGGCTAGAAGCATGGCTCAGTTGGTAGAGTGCCAATCAGTGAGTGAAAGTGTCGGTTATCCTGTTTGAGTTCTGATCTCTGGCCTAAGAAAATAAAAAAGTAAACTCCTGAAGAATGGTAGAAATACACATGATTAGAAAAACAGTATTTTGTATTTGAATTTATAGCTAGGAGAAAATAAGCTATAATACAATTATCTTAAAGAAAAGTAAGTACCTGCTGCTAAATTTATTTTAGGAATACATCTAAAGAAACATCTAGGTTGAACCTTTGTAAACTTTGAGATATTAAGTTAGGGTTGAGTTTCTAATCTACTTAAAACATGTTTTTCAGCCGCCTGTCTTGGTTAGATGGTTCTGGATTAGGATTCTCACTGGAATACCCCACCATTAGCTTACATGCAGTCTCCAGGGATCTAACTGCCTATCCTCGAGAACATTTGTATGTTATGGTGAATGCCAAATTTGAAGGTATGTATGATGTAATTTTTTTGTTTTGAGGTATTGGGGTTTTAACTCACAGACTCACACTCAGCTTGCTGGCTAGGTGGGCATTCCTGACTTGAGCCACATCTCTACCTGGCTTTTTGTTGGTTGTTTTGAAGATGGTATCTCACACTTTCTGCTCATTTTGCCTTTACACTAATCCTTCAGATCTTGTTCCCTGAGTAGGATTTTAGGCATGAGCCTAGTTCTTGGCTTATATGGTATAATTTAATTCAGTGCTTCTTTTGATAGTAAAGTATATTTTAGAAAATAACGTTTATTTTTCCTTTCTTTCTTTTTCTTTTCTTTTGGCTTGAACTCTGGGCCTGGGCACTGTTCCTGAGCTCTTCGGCTCAAGGCTAGTGCTCTACCACTTGAGCCACAGTGCCACTTCTGGTTTTCTGATGGTTTATTGGAGATAAGAGTATCATGGACCTTCCTGCCCAGTCTGGTTTTGAACCTTGATCCTCAGATCTCAGCCTCCTGAGTAGCTAGGATTATAGGCTTGAGCTACTGGCACCTGGCTCTTACTTTCTTTTTGGTTCCTGTTCTTGGGCTTGAACTCTGAGCCTGGGTGCTGTCCCTGAGCTTTTTTGCTCAAGGCTAGCACTCTACACTTGAACCACAGCTCCATTTCTGACTTTTGGGCGGGGGGGTAGTTAATTATATGAGTTTCACAGATTTTCCTGTGTGTGCTGGCTTTGAACTGTGATCCTCAGCTAAGATTATAGACATGAACCACCAGGCCCAGATTACTTTTCCTGTGTGTGTGTGTGTGTGTGTGTGTGTGTGTGTGTGTGTGTGTGTGTGTGTGTGTGTGTGTCTGTCTGTCTGTCTGTCTGTCTGTCTGTCTTTGTGCATATGTGTGTGTGTGTGTGTCTTTGTGCGTGTGTGTGTGTGTGTGTGTCTTTGTGCGTGTGTGTGCGTGTGCGCACATGCCTGAGCATATGTGTGCCAATATTGGGGCTTGAACTCAGGGCCTTGAACTCTCTTAGTTTTTTCACTTAAGGTTGGTGCTCTACCACTTGAGGCATACCTCCACTTACAGCTTTTTGTTGTAGACCCCTGCACTTTTCAGCTCAAGGCTAGAGCTCTACCACTTGAGCCACAGCCCCACTTCCAGTTTTCTGGTGGTTAATTGGAGATAAGAGGGCTGTCTTTGAACCTCTATCCTCCTGAGTAGCTAGATCACAGGGTTGAGCCACTGGTACCAGGCTATTTTATTTATTTATTTATTTATTTATTTATTGTCAGTTGTGGGGCCTGAACTCTGCCTGGGTGCTGTCCCTGAGCTCTTCAGCTCAAGGCTAGTGCTCTACCACTTGAGCCACAGCATTACTTCCGGCTCTTTCTGTTTATGTGGTGCAGAAGAATCGAACCCAGGGCCTCATTCATGTGAGGCAAGCACTCTACAACTGAGCCACCTTTCCCACCCCTCTTTCTTAATTGAGAGACTCAATTATGAATTTTGTGCTTCCATGAATTTTGGATAAAACTGTGTAGGCTTTTGTTTTTCATGCTTTTTGCTCTTTTTGTTGTTACAGCAGTGGTTCTCAGCAGGTGAATGGGAGGATTATTATGTACCTCAAGTTAACCTTCTATCCTTTCCCCCCATCAGCAATGACAGTGGCAGAGGTGCATCTGGCATGTAGAAGTTAAGGTGGCAAGAAAGTTGTATAACAATTTACATTTACAATTCTGTGGCACTTCCACAGAATTGAACTTTTAGTGCCAAAGTTGAAATGTTCTGGTAACACAATTCCCAAGTTGTGCTTTTGGAGATAATTGAAGATTTATAAAAATCTAGTGAAGTTTTTACTATTAGAAAAATGACATGCTACCCAGGTGCCGGTAGCTCACACCTATAGTCCTAGCTTTTCAGGAGGCTGAGATCTGAGGATCTCAGTTCAAAGCTAGTCCAAGCAGGAAAGGCCATGAGACTTTTATCTCCAATTAACCACCAGGAAACCAGAAGTGGCACTTTGAACTTAAGCCCCATGACAAACAAACAAACAAAAAAAAAGACGAAGAAGAAAGAAAAATGACGGGCTTTTCTATGAAAATAGTGTGCAACAGAAAATCCCATGAAACTATTGAGTCCTTCCTGTGGTTTGAGATTCACTGTGGCCACTTATCTACAATAGTCCTGACACTATTAACTTTTAGAGCTTTAGTGAGCTCTGTCTTACTAATTGATAATGTCTGATTTAGCTATCTAAAAATATTTTTGTTGTAAGTTTTTAAATTGTTACTACTGGGAAAGTTTCAAAATCTATAAATACTTGGTGGAGTTTGAAAAAGAGAGTAAAAGACCATTCAGAACATGAAATGTAGTAAGACTTCCTAAAGAGTTATTAGCCACAATTCACTCATAATGTAAGTATATGTAGCTATGATTTTCTAATTGTTAGTCAACTTTCTGCTGCTGTGACAAAGTCCCAGAGATAATCAGCTTAATAAGAAAAAAGTTTACTTTTGCTTAGTTTCAGTCTGTTGTCATTTGGCTGTGCCTCTGGTGTCACAGTACACTGTGGCAGAAACACATGGCACCAGATCTCCTGGCAACCAGAAAGCAAAGGAAAGGACTGGTGAGGTTTCAATAACTTCTTTAAAGGCATGTATCCCAAAGACCTACTTCTTTCCACCAGGCTCTTCCATTTCCCAATAGTACTTTAGACTGGTGATGAACCTTTTACATACAGGCCTTTGAAGTGACATTCATGATCCAAACTATAGCAGTAACTAAGAAAAATATGTGTCATGTTGAAAGTATTCATTTAGTGATAGAAATGCAAAACATTAAAGATAACCTTGTTAGTCACTTTGAAATTGGCATCTTGATGCTCAGAATATAGTGTAGCTCAGTGGTAGAGTCTGTATTTAGCATACATGAGACCACTCATCCAATCCTCAGCACCAAAGACCAGAACAAAAACAAAAAACAAAAAATACTCCTAGATAATGTCCAACAATGACTTTGGACAAAGGTGCCTGTCCAGAAAAAGGGCCAGAGAGGTATTATTTCAATAAATGGTAGCTAAAATGTGGTTAACTTGCAAGGCAATTTATTTTCTCTTAAATCTCAATTTTATCGAGAAAATTAGAGGGTTCTGTTAGATTATTAGAAGCAGCTGGGGAGCTTGTTAAAAATGTAAATGTAGCCGGGTGCTTGTGGTTCATGCCTGTAATCCTAGCTATTCAGGAGACTGAGATCTGAGGATTACGGTTCAAAGCCAGCCTGGGCAGGAAAGTCTGTGAAACTCTGATCTCTGATAAACCATTCAGAAAACTGGAAGTGGTGTTGTGGCTCAAGTGGTAGAGCGCTCGTCTTGAGCTGAAGAGTTGAGGGAAAGCGCTCAAGCCCAGAGTTCAAGCCCCATGACCAACAAAAACTGAATGAATGAATGAGTGAATGAATGAATGTAGATATAAACTAGACACTGAGCTCAGACCTGTAATCCTAGTTAGGAGGCTGAGATCTAAGAATTACAGTTCAAAGACAATCTAGGCAGGAAAGTCTATAAGACTCTTAACTCCAATTATGTACCAAAAAGCCAGAAGTAGAGCTGTGGCAAAAATGGTAGAGCACTAGCCTTGAGTTTTAAGCTCAGAGGCCCTTAGTTCAAGCCCCAGGGTCAGCCCCAAAACAAACAGACATAGTTCAAGATACTTTGGAGGCCAACCAGAAAGATTACAGCTATAGTTGGTCCTAGCAAAAGTACTAGACTTTATGGAAAACAGAAAAGGGCTGAAAGGTAGAACACCAGAGTCCCTGAGTTCAAATCCCAATACTGCAAAAAATAAAAATAAAAAATAAAACTACTGCTGGGCATTGGTGGCTCATGCCTGTAATCCTACCTGCTCAGGAGGCTGAGATCTGAGGATCACAGTTCAAAGCCAACCTAGGCAGGAAAGACTCTTATCTCCAATTATCCACCAAAAAAACAGAAATGGCAACTCTGGCTCAAGTGGTAGAGTACTAGCCTTGAGCTGAAGAGCTCAGGGACAATGCCCAGGCTCAGAGTTCAAGCCCCACAACCAAAAAAGAACTATTAATTTTGAATGTTTCAGGGGCCTATTTAAATTTTTTTTATTTGTTTTTGCATGTGTGTTTGTGCTCAGACCTGGTCTTGAACTCAGGGTCTTCCTGCTCCTTTTTTTTTTTGGCTCACATTTGGTGCCCTACCATTTGAGCCATGCCTCCAAGTCCAGCATTTTACTGGTAATTGGAGATGGAGTTGTGCAGACCCTTGTGCCTACATTTGTCTTTTTTTTTTTTTTGTCAGTTGTGGGGCTTGAACTCTGGGCCTGGGCACTGTCCCTGAGCTTTTCAGCTCAAGGCTCTACCATTTGAGCCACAGTGCCACTTTCGGTTTTCTGGTGGTTTATTGGAGATAAGAGTCGCTTGGACTTTGCTGCCCACACTGGCTTTGAACCTCGATCCTCAGATCTCAGCCTCCTGAGTTGATAGGATTACAGGAGTAAGCCACCAGCATCTGCCTACACTGTCTTTTAACCATAATCCTCAGCTCTGTCTCCAGAGTAGCTAGGATTACAAGCATTAGCCACTGACACCCAGCTTATATTTTTCATTATGAAATAACTCATATGTAACACAAAATACAGAATGATTAGAGGTTTGTTTGGTTTTTGTTTTTTACAGTACTGATGATTGTACAAAAAATGTCTGTGATTCAATACCAGCATGAATTGTAGCACTTTTCCATAATTACTCTAAACTTTTAAAGGAACCCACTGTTGTACTGTTGTGGCCTGTTTTGTATGGCTCCAACATCATTTCCTACTCTTGGAGTTAAGCAGTATCATGAAGGTGACGTGGTCCTTCCTTGCTGTGCTTTAATTTTTACTGATTGTTTGTGCCCATGATCAATATAATGGTTTTGTTTTATATGTTTCAATTTTTTTTGGGGGGGGGTTCCGGTCGTGGTGTCTAAACTTTGGGCCTGGGCGCTGTTCCTCAGCTCTTCAGCTCAAGGCTAGCGCTCTACCACTTGAGCCACAGCACCACTTGTGGCTTTTTTCTTTTTGCTTACGTGGTGCTGAGGAATCGAACCCAGGGCCTCAGGCATGCAAGGCAAGCGCTCTAGCCCTATGTTTCAAATTATTAAGTAAGTGATATCATATGCATTCTACAACTAGCTTTTTTCATTGTTATATTTTAAAATCTAGGTTGGTATACACATACATATATGGTATTTTTTTTATCTTTTAACTGCTCTTATCTGCCTATCTATATTTCAGTGTGAAATATGACTAGGTTACAGTACATTCTTTTTTTTTTTTTGGGTAGGGGTTCATTTGGGCTTGAACTCAGGGCTTGGGCACTGTCACTGAGCTTTTTCGTTCAAGGCTAGGTCTTTACCACTTTGAGCCACAGCTCCACTTCTGGTTTTATGATGCTTAATTGGAGGTACTCATGGATGGGATTTAGCTCAGTGGAAAAGGCTTGCCTAGCAAGTGCAACATCCTGGGTTCGATCCCCAGTACTCAAAGAAAAGACAAAAAAAAAAATACAGTTAAAAAAAAAAACTGCCAGGCGCTGGTGGCTCACGCCTGTAATCCTAGCTACTCAAGAGGCTGAAATCTGAGGATCAAGGTTCAAAGCCAGCCCAGGCAGGAAAGTCCCTGAGACTCTTATCTCCAATAAACCAATAGAAAACTGGAAGTGGTACTGTGGCTCAAAAAGTAGAGCGTTCGCCTTGAGCTGAAGAGCACAAGGACAGTGCCCATGACTGAGTTTCAAGCCCCACGACTGGAAAAAAAAAAACAACTAAAAACACCTTTAAAAAGCCAGGCACCAGTGGCTCATGCCTGTAATCCTCGCTACTCAGGAGCCTGAGATCTGAGGAAGACAGTTCAAAGCCTATACCCTGGGCAGGAAAATCCATGAGACTAACTACTCAGAAAAAGTGGAAAGTGCTACTATGGATCAAATGGTATAGCACTAACCTTGAGCAAAAGAAACTTAGGGACAGCATCCAGGTCCTAAGTTGAAGCCCCAGGATAGACAAAAGAAAAAAAAATAAGTATCATGGACTTTCCTGCCTGGGCTGGCTTTGAACCCTCAGATCTCAGCCTCCTTAGTAGCTAGGATTACAGGCATGAGCCACTGGTACCGGGCTTGGATTTTTGTTGTTTGTTTTGTGTCAGTTCTGGGACTTGAACTCAGGGCCTATGCATTGTCCCTGAGCTTTCTTTTGTTTAAAGCTAGCATTCTATCACTTGAGCCACAGCTCCACTTCCAGCTTTTTTGGTAGTTTAATGGAGATGAGTCCTACAGACTCAGCTGTCTGGACTGGCTTTGAACAGCTCTCCTCAGATCTTAGCCTCCTGAGTCGCTAGGATTACAGGTATGAGCCAGTGGCACTTGGCTGTTTTTAAAATGTCAAGTAAAGGATACATTAAAAAGTATTTTTATTCCTTTTCTAGAAGAATCAAGAGAATCTCTTTCTGATGAAGAAGACGACAGTGATGATGATGTGGAACCTATTACTGAATTTAGATTTGTGCCTAGTGATAAATCAGCATGTGAGTGTTCTATAATATTGATCTTTTTGCATTTGCATGTAGGCAGTCTTCCTCCTCCCCTCCCCCCCACACACCCTCACTCCTCTACTTTATTGTTTTCAGGGGATCATGGTTTTGGTATGTAATACAGGCTGGCCTAAAATTCCTGATCTTCTTGCCTCAGCCTCCAGTGATACATGTTCCACCACACCTGACTGTCTATTTTTCTTTTCTTCATTTTATTATCTGTAATTTCATTGAGGATCAAGTACATATTAATATGAAAGGTAGTGAGAGGATTGATATCTGGTATGTTACCAATCTGTTACCTGGTATATTCTGTAAGTGGAGGACTCTGCTTCCTTTTATTGAGTGATATTGTTGACTGAATCTCACCTATCAGGGGGGACAGGAGTCAATAACAATTCCAAAGCCGAAGATGCTAGAATCATTGGAAAGTGACTTGTCAGCTGAGAAGGGCTCGTCCTGATTCATCAGGCCATGGACTGACTCTTTTTCTTAGACAATCCAGCAGCCATGAAGAGATCTCAGTGAAACCTTGACTTCTTGGTTTGGGACTGTCCATTGTCTTGGCACTTTCAGGGTCAGTCCTACTTGGAGTTTGGTAGGTTTTATAAATATTGGCATCGTTGTGTACCTCTTGAGCCTAGTCAATTTATTTATATCCATGTTTTTATTACAAAATGTTAATTACAATCTGAAAGACATATTAGTAACAACTTAATGTCTTTATTCAGTGGAGGCAATGTTCACTGCAATGTGTGAATGTCAGGCCCTACATCCAGATCCTGAGGATGAGGATTCAGATGATTATGATGGAGAAGAATATGATGTGGAAGCACATGGTCAGTGAAATGTATTTTGGTATTTGTTTTACTGTTTCATGTTAAGCTCTTATTTTTGCTGGAGGCAGAGGATTATATTTCTTTGTTCTACATGAGGTATCCAGTATAAAGTGGTTGTAAATAAAAGTGAACCTATATAGTGGCACACTTTGTGTGTAGGTCCTCCTGGGGTAGGCAGTACTAAGATTTAAACTGGGATCTTGAACTTGCTGTTGAACCACAACCCAAGCCCTTTTTGCTTTCATTATTTTTCAAATAGGGTTTCACATTTTATGCTCAGGCCAGCTTGGACTGCCATCCTATTCTGTATAGTTGGGATGGCAGGCTTGTCATACCACCCCCAGCTTCTGTGAACAGCAGAGTTGGAGTCTCAAAATCTTTTTGCCTAGTCTGGCTTTGAACCATGATCTTCCTGGTCTCTACTTCCTGAGTAGCTAAGATTACAGCCATGAACCACCAGGCCCAGCAGTGTGTCTTGGCCCTTTGAACAGAAAAATTGGGACGATTTATGGCCTTCCCAAGCTTGAAGGTAAAATTTGGAAAATTTTTTCTAGAAAGAAAATGGATAAATAGAGACAAATGAAGTGAAAGAACAGTAGTAGCTAGAAAATGAACAGTCAGAAAAGCCTTTTAGCTGGGTGCTGGTGGCTCATGCCTGTAATCCTAGCTACTCTGGAGGCTGAGATCTGAGTATCACAGTTTGAAGCCAGCTGGGGCAGAAAAGTCCTTGAGACTCCTATCTCCAATAAACTACTTGGAAAAAGTGGAAAGTGATGCGGTGCCTCAGGTGGTAGAACACTAGCCTTGAGCACAAAGAGCCTTGGGGGCAGTGCCCAGGCCCTGAGTTGAAGCCCCACAACTGACAAAAGAGAAAAGAACAGCCTTTTAGGCTAAAGTAGCTGCCCCCAGAAAACAGCCTTTCTACCATTTGAGAAGCTAGCTTGTTTCTGTCTTTATTTAACAAATTTCTTGAAATGGCTCAATGCCAGGATCATTTTCCCCCCCCACAATACATTTCACTGCCTTTTCAGACCAAAATATATTCACTGGTAAGGTGCTGTTACTCAGCTTTTCTGTTTATACCACTTGAGCCATGTTTCCAGACTAGCATTTTGCTAGCTAATTGGAATTAAGAGTCTCATGGGCTTTTCTACTTGGACTGGTTTCGAATCTCAATCCTGTAGGTCTCCACTTCCTTAGCACTTCCTGAGCCACTGGATGCCTGCCCAGTCTCATAGCTTAAGGAAGGTGTTACTCTTTTTCTTTTCTTTTTCTTTTTTTTCTGTTGGTCATGGGGCCTGAACTCTGGGCCTGGGCACTGTCCCTCAGCTATTCAGCTCAAGGCTAGCGGTCTTCCATTTGAGCCACAGCGCCACTTCCGGCTTTTTTCTTTTTGCTTATGGAGTGCTGAGGAATCGAACCCAGGGCCTCATGCATGCAAGGCAAGCGCTCTACCACTGAGCCACCTTCCCAGCCCCCCCTCTACTCTTTTTCTTATCCCTACTGGTCTTACAAACACTTGCCTGGATATCCAAAGCTCTTTCCTACATAAGTGCCTGGTCTGAGACATCCTCATTTCTGGGATTCTCCTTTATATAACTTATTTACTTTTTTGTGTTTTCTGGAATTTCAGATTTTTTTTTTTTTTTTTTTTGCCAGTCCTGGGGCTTGAACTGTGGGCCTGGGCACTGTCCCTGATCTTCTTTTTTGCTCAAGGCTAGCACTCCATCAGTCAAGCCACAGTGCCACATCTGGCTTTTAGCTGGGTGCTGGTGGCACATCTGGTACTGAGGAATTGAACCCATGGCTTCATGCATGCTAGGCAAGCACTCTACCACTAAGCCACATTCCCAGCCTGAATTTCAGATTTTTTTAATGAAAGGATCATATATGTTAATGAGATAAAAACTTGAATGTCAAATTAATTTTTGTTGTTGTTGGTCGTGGGACTTGAACTCTGGGCCTGAGCACTGTCCCTGAGCTCTTCAGCTCAAGGCGAGTATTCTACCACTTGAGTCATAGCACCACTTCTGATTAAGTCCATAAGAGTCTCATGGACTTTCCTGCCTGGGCTGGCTTTGAACCGCAATCCTCAGCTTTTAGCCTCTTGAGTAGCTAGGATTACAGGTGTGAGCCATCAGCGTCTAGCTTCAAATTAATTTTTAGTCAACTTGTAAAATTACTACCTTGAGATTATACAGGAATCCCTTAGTTTAGGAGCACCTTCTTTTCCATCAAGCTTCTAAACAGGTCATTTCTCTGGGAATTACTGTTATTATCTCTCAGAATCCCTTCTCTATCCTGAAGGGTAGGGATGTTTTCTTTGTATCTCTTCAGCAGTATCTTTGTCAATAAACATTGGCAATAGTTCCTGGAAACCTCTTAGAACTGCACCTTGTAAGTGCATTGTTGATTATCCATTTTTTTTTTTTCTTTGTCAGTCCTAGGTCTTGAACTCTAGGCCTGAACGCTGTCCCTGAGCTCTTCAGCTCAAGGTGAGCACTCTACCACTTGAGCCACAGCTCCACTTCCAGTTTCCTGGTTGTTTATTGGAGATAAGAGTTTCATGGACTTTCCTGCTTGGGCTGACTTTGAACTGTGGTGCTCAGATCTCAGCCTCCTGAGTAGCTAGGATTATAGGCATGAGCCACCAACGCCCAGCCCATTTTATTTTTTTCTAATTGTTGTATCATAGCTTAAAAGTTTTCTATTTTATTTAGAACAAGGACAGGGGGATATCCCTACATTTTATACCTATGAAGAAGGATTATCCCATTTAACAGCAGAAGGGCAAGCCACACTGGAGAGATTAGAAGGAATGCTCTCTCAGTCTGTGAGTAGTCAGTATAACATGGCTGGAGTCCGGACAGAAGATTCAATAAGAGATTATGAAGGTGAGTGTCCTTTTTCTTCAGTGTGAACAAATGACTACCTGGGCAAAGAGGGAAATTACAGAGAAATGTGGGTTCTTTTGGAAACTGTAAGACAAAGAATTCTCAAGAGTAACTATGATATGAAAAGCAAATCTAGACTTTTTTTGTTGTTTTTAGTCCCCCATCCCCCACCCCACCCCCAAATACACCACCAGCTATAAAGTAATCCATGTTTTGGTCAAATTTTCTTTTTTTCTTTAAATTTGGTTTTAGCTTTGATTTTTGGTGTTTTGTGCCTTTGTGCTGTTCCTAAGCTTTTGTGCTCAAAGCTAGCATTCTACTACTTGATTCTTAGCTCTACTTTTGGCTTTTTTGGTGCTTAATAGGAGATAAGAGCCTTGTGGAATTTCCTGCCTGGTCTGGCTTCAAACCACAATCCTGAGATAGCCTAGGATTAGCCTAGGATTACAGGTATGAACCACTAATGCCTGGCTATCATACTTACTTAAAGGGTTATACAGCTCCAACAACCCTGAGTTCAGGCAGGTTTCAGTGGTGTATACTACTTAGAAGGCTGAGGGAGAATTTCTTAAGCCCACAAATTGTCCAACTTTTTATTGGTTGAGGCACGGTATTTCAAGTTTTTTACCTAGGCTGGCCTCAAAATGAAATTTTACTGATTTCTGCCTCCCTTGTAGCGACAATTATAGGCATGAGCACCATGCCTGGCTTACTGGTTCCATTCTGAATCCCTTCATGTTTCATATAGAACCTTGAAGTATTCTTCTTTTGACCCAATCTTTCACCATTAATTACCTTTTTCAGTTTAATAACTTCATGGATTTTTTTTTTTTTTTTTTTTTTTTTGGCCAGTCCTGGGGCTTGAAGTTGGGGCCTGAGCACTGTGAGCACTGTTCTTGAGCTTCTTTTGTTCAAGACTAAGCACTCTACCACTTGAGTCATAGTGCTACTTCTGGCTTTTTCTATTTATATGGCATTGAGGAATCGAACCCAGGGCTTCATGCATTCTAGGCAAGTACTCTACCACTAAAACACATTCCCAGCCCCATTCCATGGATTTTTTTTTTCCTTCATGTCTTCTTGCTAAGACTTCAGCCATGCTCTAAGCCTAAGCCCTTTTTCCTATGTGTTGATCCATTCTTGAGTTTTTGTGTTGATATTAGGGGCTTGAACTCATGGCTTTGAGCTCTCTTACTTGGCTTTTTGCTCAAGGCTCTACCACTTGAACCATACTACTTTTCCATACATTGTGTGCATACACAAACACACTAATCCTGTGGACTGAACTCAGTGACTGGGTGCTGTTCCTGAGCTTTTCTGCTCGAGGCTGATGCTCTACCACTTAAACCACAGTTCTGCTTCTGACTTCCTTTTTGGTACTTAAATCTCCAGTCCTCAGTCAACCTTCTGAGTAGCTAGAATCACAGGTGTGAGCCACCACCTTGCCTTTTTTTTTTTTTTTAAAAGACTCACACTGTTGTCTAGGGCTGGCCTTAGACAATTCTTCTACTTCCTACATATCTGGGATTACAGGCATGTATGACCATACAGGGTCTACATCATTCTTACTGCCTTTTAAACACTCATTGTCTACCAATAGCATTTCAGTGTTCCCATGTATTCATTTATATAAGAAGTATTTAATAAGCTGCTGTGTCTGGTATACTGAGTATTGTAGTCTTTGGAAAGATTTCTGTCAAGCATTCTACTAGAGAGAATAATAATTGACAGTATGTGGCAATGTAGCCATGAAATACAGGAGATGCTTAGGAAGCTGTGGGGCCTTAGAGGCAGGGTCCCTCACCCAGTAGGGATAATCAAGCCTCTTAATGTAAGTGGTATCTAAACCAAGACTAAAAAACAAAGAGAAGTAAATCCAAGGACTTACATACAATTGGAGAGAGAGGGACAGGCAAAGAGATGAGCCATGTGCAAAAGATCTAGAGACCATTCACCTTTGGCTAATTATAGTTCATTGTGTCAGTAACTTTTGTGTGTGAAGGGTGAATATTATAACAACAGAATGGTGGAGAAGTAGAATGGCCTTGTGTTAGAGGAACTTGAAAGACTCATTAAAGAATTTGAACATTACCTATAATTCAGTGGATAGCAACTGAAAAATGATTACATTTGATATGATAATTATGCAAAATAGATTGGGGAGGAAAAATACTGAAAGAATGAAGAGAAGCTCTGTTTTGTGACTTTTATATTAGATTACAGATGGAAGCCCAAATTTTACTAGAGGGCGTGAATACAAAGGATTTGACTGAAAGAAATTTAGGAGACAGAAAGAGAAGTTAAGGATGTAACAGGATTTTCTGGCTTGAGCAAGACTGGAAAGAGAAGCATTTTTATGTGGAAAGATGATTAGTTAATTGTAGACATATTACATGTGCATGTTCAGATGCTGGGATGCCAAGGGGCTTCAGCAGAAATGTGTGGTAGGCTGAAAGGTTGAGAGCTGAGGGGCAGTAAAGAAGTAGAGAAAGCCGGGCGCTGGTGGCTCACGCCTGTAATCCTAGCTACTCAGGAGGCTGAGATCTGAGGATCACGGTTCAAAGCCAACCCGGGCAGGAAAGACTGTGAGACTCCTATCTCCAATAAACCACCAGAAAACCAGAAGTGGCGCTGTAGCTCAAGTGGTAGAGCACTAGCCTTGAGCTGAAGAGCTGAGGGACAGCGCCCAGGCCCAGAGTTCAAGCCCCACAACCAACCAAAAAAAAAAAAAAGAAGTAGAGAAAGCAGTTGCAGAAGACTTTGCAAAGGGCTTTTCTTCTCCTCAACCCCTCTCTGCTTTCTTTTTAGTAAGATGAAGAAAACAAATAAGCAAAAAGTTTGTTCTGCTGGGTTTGTCTTCTCTCCTAAATTGTGTTATAGGCTTTGTAATCCAACTATATACCTTTAAAAAATGATCTCTAACAGTAAACATTGAACACAGACATGTGAAGAGTGTATAGCTACTAAGTAATATTACACTTGAATGTTCCCACCAGCATTAGGAGGCATAGACAGGAAAATCATTAGGTTGAAGCCATCCTAAATTGTGTAGAAGAATGTCTCAGAAACAAGAAAGGAAAAAAGAAAGCTACTGTAGACTTAGAGTTTTATTAGTTTTGAGGTTGAAAATTTAACAAAGTAAACTTAGATATATAGACCTATTTCTTGTATATGTGCCGGTCCTGGGGCTTGAACTCTGGGCCTAGGAGCTGACCCTGTACTTTTAAGCTCAAGACTAGCACTTTACCACTTGAGCCACGATGCTGCGTCTGGCTTTTTCTATTTATGTGGTACTGAGGAATCAACCCAGGGCTTCATGTGTAATAGACAGGCACTGTACCACTAAGCCATGCTCCTAGTCCTTTAGACTAATTTTAACTTGCTCTAAATCTAGAAAGCAGCGCAACTTTATATACCTGGACAATTTAAAAATAAAATGAAAAAGCAGATCCTACCAGCAGAGGGCACTAGCCTCTTTCTGATTGAATCTTGTCCTATGGTTCAGCAATTCATTTATTTGTACAGATGGCATGGAGGTGGATACTACACCAACAGTTGCTGGACAATTTGAGGATGCAGATGTTGATCACTGAAAGGGCTTTAATTTGCTTTAAGGTAAGTAGTTTCTAGAACTTGAAAATCAAGAAATTTTTTGTTGTGTTGTTTTTTGCAGTATTGGGAATTAAACTTAGCCTCATGCCTATTAGGCAGGTACTCTATCCCTTGAGCCACACTCCAACCTTTTTTTATTTGTTTATTTTATTGTTATTATTAATGGTTACTGTTGCATAAGTCAGGTAATAAGTCCAGTGCTTCTTTTTTTTTTTTTGGGCGGTCGTGGGACCTGAACTCTGGGCCTGGGCAAGAGCGCTTGCCTTGCATGCATGAGGCCCTGGGTTCGATTCCTCAGCACCACATAAGCAAAAAGAAAAAAGCCGGAAGTGGCGCTGTGGCTCAAGTGGTAGAGTGCTAGCCTTGAGCTGAAGAGCTGAGGGACAGCACCCAGGCCCAGAGGTCAGGCCCCAGGACCGGTCCCTAAAAAAATTTTTTTTAAAAACACCAAAATGTACATACCCAAAAATGCACATACCCGAAATCCTAGCTGTGTGGAAGGCTTTGGTAAGAGGCTAATGGTTTCTTGCTGGTCAAAAAGCATAAGAATCTATTTGAAAAATGACCAAAGCCAAAAGGGCTATGGCAACGTGGCTCAAGTGATAGAGTGTTGGCCTACTAGTCTGGAGACCCTGAGTTCAAATCCCAGTAATACACACAAATAAAAAAGAAGTGAGAACTCTACAAGGTTATCAGTTTGAAAAAAGGTTCCTCATCTTTGAAGTAATGGAAAATTATATAGCTTTTTCCCTAAGAAATCTCAGGATCTGCTGTATACCTGCCACATGTCAAGTACTGCCAGGCATGGTAATTGAGAAGCTGACATGGGGATCATGAGTTCAGAGCCCAGTCTGGGCTTACATAATAGGAAAAAAGAAGAGAAAGAAAGAAACATATGAGATGTAGCTGTTGGTGTTAACCATTTGTTCAGAAAGACGTCCTTTTCGACTTACATTGGAGTAGTCGAGTATAAGATAATGGCTTCATGTCCATTTGATTCACCTTTCCTCACCTATAGAACCCATAATGTATTCACAATCCCTGTAGCTCACTACTTTTCAATTTAGGAAGGAAATAGAAGATAATTCCAAATTGAATTTTAAGCCATTAATCATAATTTTGTGTTGGTTTCTGACCTCCTGTAAACAGTGGGAGACCAAGGTTCTGGTACCATTGTGTTTCAAGGCTGAAATAACTACATTTGTTAATCATAACAAGTCCATGTACAATCATCCAAAGGCCACCATTTTCCAAGTTGTTTGTTTCTTGCCTGGTTTTCATTCATGGCTGATAGACAGGTGCTCTGCCAATTTTATCTCCTGAGCATTCTGGACTTTACCTAAAGTTTATCTGTATTTACCATTTTGTTATTGTGAGAAATACATTGTCTTTTCTCAGCCTAAGTCTTTAAACTATATGATAATAATGAAAGATCGTAAAGTTATTTTATGTCATGCAGAGTGTCTACAGTAGTCCTGCCTTTAAGTTGTTACTTTCTTTCCTATCCTCTTGCCTATCTTTCCAGCTTTTAGCCATTGCTCTTTAACTTGGTAAGAGCTATGTACCTTGCTTAACTCTGCTACTACCATCAGTCATCCAGTTAGGTTAAGTGCCCTCACTCTCCCCTGTTGTGGCTAACATGCGCAAAGCCCTGAGTTCCAACCTCAGGCCACCAAACAAATTTCTTTGTTCTGGTTTAAATTTTAGTTCCAAACATTAATAATCAACAGGGTTGTTTTTTTTTTCCAAGTTAAAAGTTTTAAATTCTTCCTGGGTACCAGTGGCTCATACCTATAATCCTAGCTACTCAGGAGGCTGAGATCTGAGGATTGTGGTTGGAAGTCTGTCTGGGTAAACAAATCCAAGAGACTTTTTTTTTTTTTGGGTCCAGTCGTGGGGCCTGAACTCTGGGCCTGGGCGCTGTCCCTCAGCTCTTCAGCTCAAGGCTAGCGCTCTACCACTTGAGCCACAGCGCCACTTCTGGCTTTTTTCTTTTTGCTTATGTGGTGCTGAGGAATTGAACCCAGGGCCTCTGGCATGCAAGGCAAGCGCTCTACCATTGAGCCACCTTCCCAGCCCTCCAAGAGACATTTTTAACTAGCATAAGGCCCACAGTGGAGGCATGACTAAGATGGTAGAGTTCCGACTGTGAGAAAACACTAAGCGTGCAAGGCTCTGAGTTCAAGACTCAGTAACACACACGCACACGCACACACACACACACACACACACACACACACGTTTAAATCCTATATCCCTGTTCCATTTTATATCACTGGTCTTTAAATTATAAACCTTCCAAAATATTCCCATTGAGCATAGCATGTAACATTACTTCTTCTACCAGCCGTGAATTGTGATCTCTGCTTTCTTCTCAGGTCCTAGTAGAACTGTCTGAAAACAACTTCCTAGAGGGCTAGGAAGGTGGCTTAGTGGTAGAGCGCTTGCCTTGCATGCATGAGGCCCTTAGCACCACATAAACAACAACAACAACAAAAAGCCGGAAGTGGCGCTGTGGCTCAAGTGGTAGAGCACTAGCCTTGAACTGAACTGAGGGACAGCGCCCAGGCCCAGAATTCAGGCCCCACGACTGGACCCCCCCCAAAAAAACAAAACAAAACAAAATACAACCTCCTAGAGGTCTGTGAATTATATCTTTTCCCATAAATACTGAATTATTATATCCATTTTTACTTCTGTCACTGGTAGCCATGTGGTCTTAAAACTAGCAGTCTCTGCTGAAATGATATCCTCTTATGAGTACTCTGTAACTAAAATTCTCAGCTCTCACAGTTTTATGTTTAAAAGTTTACTTTTTTACTCATGGGAAACTTTATGAAACTAACTTATTTCTTATCACATTTCATAGCATGTTGATTTTTCAGTTTAATTATAGTTGTTAGTAACTTTTGTTGAAACTGGAAGACACATTTTTGGATCATGGGACTTTCACATTTGTCTCCTTGAAGAATAGACTGTTCAGAGGACATCAGCCACTCTGTGGCTAATGACCATGAGAAACTCATTTGCCAAGTCACTAATGGTTGCACAAGTGGGATGCTACTGTACTTCCTGGCAAGGATTCTTAGGATTCTTTGTAATAGTGAAGTAACCATAAAATAGCCACAAATATCCTAATGAGTTAATACTTTATTTGTTCATTTCATGGTTTCTGTTTAGAGAAATATTTTATAAAGCTCATTGTTCATGTTCTTCTATACAACAGACCTGACTCCAAACTATGTCTGTAAATTTTTAATCATTTAAAATTGTATGCCCTTTTGAAAAATGAACTAAGGAATAATTAGAGTGTTTATGCAACCATCACTAATATCTAGATAATTGGAACTCTTCTATGGCAAGGGAAGGCACACAAAGAGGGCCTGTCAAATACTGCTTCATGCCTTTATGCAAGGTTTATAACTTATCTTCAGTTTTATCATCTGTAAAGTGAAGATGATAACTACCTGGGAAAAGTTGTTGCAAGGACTGAGTTATAATATATTTAAGTTCCCTGGCACTCTTGATAAGACTTTCAGTAAATAATTGGTATTGTTGTTGTTATAAATGCTGTAAAACGTTTGTTTTTCAGATTCTGCTTGGGACTGTAGAAGGAAAGTTGGTGCCTCTTCCACTGTGGAATGGGGCTGATGAAAGGCTTTTTTTCCTTCAAAACTCACTTGAACCAGTTCTTTCTTAAGACAACTATGAGGCAGCAGGTTGTCACCAGCAGAAGAAACTATGACCTTTATTAACAAAGGTGAATTAACTTAACCAAGGGGGTGTTTGTAGTTTATCACTTGCCCTTCTGTGTTTGTTGTTGTCTGAGTAGGCCACTCCTTCCTGCCTTTGATGCACTTCTCTGACCACTAGCAGGTCTCGGGTGAAACACACAGGAGCTTGGGGTATGGGTTGACCAGGGTGGGGTTTGCAAGAAAGAGTCTGAAGCTGAAACACCTTTGTAAGGAAACCTTTTCCCTTAAGAGACAAAGCCAAGATCACAGAGAAATTAGCCTCTGTTGTGTTCCACATGGACATGAGTTTTTATAATTTCTAGCCCAGATGAATGAATTCAGGCCTTGCTGGCAACTCTGGAAAACCCCAACTGAATCCCACCACTGATGCAGTGGGTAGCTTCTGCCCTGCTTTACCATCTTCTCTGGTCTCTTAAGTTATAGCCTTGAATTTCCACTCTCTTAGGTTCTATAACAGATCAAAAGAACTGCGATGAAGTCCTCAGAGTCCTTCCCATGATAATTGTTTTGTCTTTGTAATAGCTTAACAAATAAATCTAGATTTTCTATATTACTGTGCTTCCTGAGTTTTGTTTTGTTTTTTGTTTTTAATGGTTCTGGGGCTTGAACTCAGGGCATGATGCTGTTCCTGAACCTTTTAGCCCAAGACTAGTTCTCTACCACTTGAGCCACAGCTCCACTTCTAGCTTTTTTGTTGGTGGTGGTGCCAATCTTTGTGCTCTACCACTTGAGCCATAGCTTCATTTCTGGCTTTTTGGTGGTTAATTGGAGATAAGAGGCTCATGTACTTTCCTGCCCAGGCTGGCTTTGAACTAGGATCTTCAGATCTTATCTCCTAAACAGCTAGAATTACATGTGAGCCATTGTCTCCCAGCTAATTGTTAATGAAATTTAAAGGAAAAAGGCAGTGCTGGAAAAAGATGAGGAAACTGAGTTACAGAGAGAGGCGACTTGCTTGAGGGTTTTTGTTGTTTTTTTTTTTTAATTTTTTTTTGGGTGCAGTCGTGGGGCCTGAACTCTGGGCCTGGGCGCTGTCCCTAAGCTCTTCAGCTCAAGGCTAGCACTCTACCACTTAAGCCACAGCACCACTTTCTTTTTGCGTATGTGGTGCTAAGGAATTGAACCCAGGGCCTCAGGCATGCAAGGCAAGCGCTCTACCACTGAGCCACCTTCCCAGCCCCTTGCTTGAGGTTTCATTGATATTACTTAGTGGTTTTGAGCCTGTGCTCCAAAACACTGTACAGTATCAACTACTTTCTGGCTGAAAGGAAGCAAATTTTTGGCTGCAGAGATTTTAATGTTAACATTTCATTCAACAGTACAAGAGGCACCAGCATTCAAAATTTTATCCTAGGAAATTACAATTTTTCAATAAAGGATTGGGATTTTCTTCTTCTTCTTTTTTTTTTTTTTTTTGCCAGTCCTGAGGCTTGAATCAGGGCCTGGGCACTGTCCCTGACCTGCTTTTGTTCAAGGCTAACACTGTATGAGCAATAGCACGACTTCCAGATTTTTCTGTTTATGTCGTACTAAGGAATCGAACCCAGGGCTTCATGCATGCTAGGCAAGCACTCTACCACTAAGCCACATTCTCAGCCCAGGGTCATGATTTTCTGATGGGCTGATTTTAGATATTCCATTTGAGAGGTTGTCTAGATAAATGGATAATTTGTGACTTGGTGAAGCACGAAATTCTGTACATAGTGTCTTACTGTTTTGTTCAGGTTAGTATGGTACCTACTGTGTCTATTCCCCCTACTTATTCCTCCATATTGATGGGATTACAGGTGCACACTACCATGCTAGGTTTACGTGTTTAAGATGAAAGTCTCACTAATGTTTGTTTTTTTGGCTCACGTTGGCCTGGAACTGTGATCTTAATCTCCATCACTGACCTGTCTCACTGACAAAGTTCTAATTGTAACCTGTAGCTGAGTTACATCAATAGCTTTGAGAAGAAAGATGAGAGTATTAAAGATATAATTCATAATTATCAGCAGGCCAACATTTATTAATTCTATTTGAACTTAATTTTAGTGTTGCTGGAATTTTTGCTTGTGTGTTTTTTGATGTAGCGAAACTTTAAAAAGCATAGACATTTTGTCCTTCCTGCAAATGTGAGCCATCTGTAGTATTCTTACACCAGGCACTGGTGGGCATGCCTAATAATCCTAGCTATTCAGGAGGATCTTGGTTCAAAACTAGCCTTGGCAGGAAAGTCATGAGCCTCTTAGCTCCAACTAACCACCAAAAAGCTTGTAGTGGAGTTGTGGTTCAAGTGGTGTAGCACCAGCTTTGAGTGAAAAGGGATAGTGCCCATGCCCTGAATTCAAACCCCAGTACTGACATAAATCCATAAAGAGGTTATTGGTTGTTCTAGGTTCTGTTGATGAAAATAGGATCCCCTTGGATTTCCCTTCTTCCTCAGATCAGCTTGTCAGATGTCTGTACTATTCAAAAGCTTGTTTTGAGGTTCTGTTAGGCTGTTCTTTGGTATTAGTAAATATGAGAGATTATGCAGATGATCATAATATATAACCCTTACTGTTAGACGGCAGGTGTGACTAGTGATTGTTCATGTACAATTTGGAATTTACTATATAGGTAATTCTCATACAAAATTTATTTTTACAGTATTTCTAGAATGTGTGAATCCATATCTTGCAACCATCTTCTGCAACCAATGTATAGTAATTAAGTTGCCAGAATCATCGCCATCCCTAATGAAGGAGCTGGGACATCTTTACCTTAGTGTCTTATTCTGTTTTATATATACATAAGTAAAAGCAATATTTAATTTGGAGGATTTTAATCCTAAATGAGAAGTAGAAAATATTCTGAGAAGAGTGAACATGATCAGAATTTTTTATTTTTAAATTCCTGAAGATAGGGAAACTTGGCATGATGATATGCATGATGAAATCCCAACACTTGGGAAACTGAGGCAAGAAGATTGGGAGTTTGAGGCCTCAAACTGGTGACTCATACCTGTAATCCTAGCTTCTCGGGTGGCTGAGATCTGAGAATCAGGGTTCAAAGCCAGTCCAGGCATGAAAGTCTGTGAGACTCTTATCTCCAGTTAACCACAAAAAGCTGGAAGTGTCGCTGTGGCTCAAGTGATGGAGTGCTAGCCTTGAGCAAAAGAAGCTCAGGAATAGTGCCCTGTCCTTTAGTTCAAGCCCCATGACCAAGAAAAAAACAAAGAGGCTGGAGAGGTGGCTCAATGGTAGAGCACTTGCCTTGCATGCCTGAGGCCCTGGGTTCGACTCCTCAGCACCACATAAGCAAAAAGAAAAAAAGCGGGAAGTGGTGCTGTGGCTCAAGTGGAAGAGCGCTAGCCTTGAGCTGAAGAGCTGAGGGACAGTGCCCAGGCCCAGAGTTCAGGCCCACGACCAGACCCAAGAAAAAAAACTGTATTCAGCTTTTAAAATAAAAATAAACTGCAATTTATTTTCCTAAGGACTGTAAGTCTTCACCACAAGCCTCTACTTTACACTATAAAAAAGTCAATTGCACTAGAGTGTCTAGATTCTAGGCATACAATAGTGAGTAAAGGAGATGAAAGTGGTTGCATCAGGCAGGCCTATCAATAATAGTTGTAGATAGCTAATAACATGTAAAGATGCATTCACTGCTCTCTTCCCCTCCATTCCCCTTGAGTAGTCTAGGCCTATGTAGCATATAGTGCCCATAGTGATGGTATGGGGAATGTACATACTGGAGCACTTTTCATAAACATACAGCTTTGTGTCTGTCCAAATTCTGGGTTGGGAATCAATCAAAACTGGCTAGCTGAAGAGGTAACAATCATTAGAGAACTGGGGATGTAGCTTACTGGTGGAGCACTTACCCAGCATAGATAAGGCCTGGATTGTAATATGGCATTGCCCCCTCCCCCCAAAAATCGTTAAGTTATATGTCTGGTGTCCTGTATGATAGGAATGCTAAAATAAACCAGGCTCAGAGAATAAGTTAAAGGACTGGGAGTTGTTATACAGATGTTAGAATTCCCATGCTGCTGTTAGACTGATTTTTTTTTTTTTTTTTTTACTGTCTCCATGTCTTTTACCAAACTTGGAATTCAAAGCTCTGCTTGGCACTCTGTGCCTTAGTTATAGAAGACAGGATATCTATCCCTTCTATTCCTACTTCTATAGTGGGAAGGCATTGCCTCATCCAGATTCTGTAAAGTGATGTAAAGAATACTTGGATGATGCCTTTAAAGAAAAAATGCAGTTATCTGATACTGCAACTTCAAATGTTTAAGGTTGAGTGTTTTGTTGCATGAGTACAGTAAGCAGACAGTTGCATTTAATAAAGGTGTGGTAGCCAGGAACCGGTGGCTCACGCCTGTAATCCTAGCTACTCAGGAGGCCTGAGATCTGAGGATCATGGTTCAAAGCCAGCAGGAAAGTAGTCCACAAGACTCTTATCTCCAATAAACTACCAGAAAACGGGAAGTGGCGCTGTGACTCTGGTGGTAGAGTGCTCCACTTGAGCTGAAGAGCTCAGGGACAACACCCAGGAGGAGAGTTCAAGCCCCCTGACTGACCCCCCCCTTTCAAAAAAAAAAAAAAAAAGTAAGTTCCATGAGTATGCTGAAGAGATGGAGGAGAGAGTTGGGGTGGAAGCAGGCAGGTCTGTGCCAATGACTGGCCAAGTAAAATAAGGTGCTTAGGAAGAAGAAAGTACTTGGGAGGAGTGAAAATGTGGACCTCTGCAGTGGACAAGATAGCCTGTGGATCAGAGGATCATTGAAGATAGAGAGCCAGGGAAGAGGAAGCTGAAGAGAAAGAGTTTAGAGTTTAAGAGTAATGAGTTTGAGCTCATACTGATTATTGGTAGTAATAGGCTCATAGCTAAATTTTAGTTCAGGCAGGATAGAAAATTACCAGCTGGATGTGATAGTACATTGCTAATCACTTGAAAGATTCAAGGCCAGCCACAGCAAAAATTAGCAAGACCGTGTCTAAAAGAAAATGTGGCCAGGTGCCAGTGACTTACACTTATAATCCCACCAACTTAGGAAGCTGAAATCTCAGGATCCAAAGCCAGCTTGGACAAGAAAGTCCCTAACTTAATTCCAATTAACTACCAAAAAGCGGAAAATTGAGCTGTGCCTTGAGCACAAAAGCTCGGGGACAGCACTTAGGCCCTGCATTCAAGTGTTCCCAGGGCTGGAACAAATGCACACACACACACACACGAGTGAAAGAACTGGGAGTATATGGCTCAAATGGTATGTGGCCCAGGTTCAATTCCCAGGATGGCAAAAAAAAAGAAGTAAAAGATTTATCAGTGGAGAGACGCTACAAACTCAGAGGCCAAAACATTGAATCATTTTTTGAGCACTAATTGCCAAGAAACAAAACAGGAGTAGTGTTGCAAAAAGTGAGATTGAAGCCAGGGCTGGTAGATCATGCTTGTAATCCTAGCTACTCAGGAGGCTGAGATCTGAGGATTGCAGTTCAGAGGCAGCCCAGGCAGGAAAGTTTGTGAGACTCTTCTCTCTAACCACCAGAAAACCAGAAGTGGAGCTGTGGCTCAAAGT